GGCAGTCACGGGATGGCCAAGTCGTGTGATGTGGCGCTAAGCCTAATATCGACATAGCGCCTTGGCATCAGACCTGCGACCGAGACGGCCCTTTCGGCTTCACCTTCGAGAACTACCAGGCTTACGCTCTCTTAATTTTCTAACAAACCCTTCAATTGCATATTCGTCACAATGGGTGGAGGTGGAAAGATCCCGTATGTGCTCGTGTTTTTCATAACCTCACCAGGAGCTAATGGATTCGATCTGGCAGGTACCCCAAGGAAGTTTGGTCCCCCGCTGGTGGTTGGTATGCCCAGCCAGCTAACTGGAGGGCCAACACTGCGATCATGGGCGTCTTTGTGTTTGGTATCGCTGCTATCGCCTTCAGTATCAGCGCTGATCGGGAACATCGCGACAAGATGCCAGAGCCCGGCCGCTTCTTCCCCAGCCGATAGTCCGTTTCCCGAACCCCATGTCACTCGGTATATATCATGCTGACCTTTACCTTTCTTCACTTGTAGCTGGAGCAGGCAAATTCGGGAACACGAGAAACAACAAGCCGCGAAGAACGACTCATAAAGAAGGTCCAGCATACTGGATGGCGGTTGTAGGCGGATTTTCAGCAGGAACCTTTTCTTTTATGTTTTTCTACTATTTGATCACTTGTGTGCTGTACGACAATACAAGAGCGTTCCTCGTTCGGCAATTAGTCGATTGACTAATAGTTCTCAGAGAGACTCTTCAGATGTCCTCGATAATCGCTGCGTGTACAGGCGGACACGTTCCGTGAATTCAGTCCGATTCCACAATTCCTTTCCGTTTCCATCAATATCGATCTGTGGCACGCCGATTTGCTCGACCACGAAGCCAGCTGCAACAGTTGCGCAAATAAGCGCCATAGGATAATGCTTGTAATTACCCCAAGACTCAAGGGCTTTCCAAGTTTCGGAGTTTGATAGAACAGAGCCAATGACTTGGAATGGCTCTCGGCCTGCAGTCACCATGCCCTGGGATAGAGCCCCGAGGAAAGAGTTGCCCGCGCCGGTGGGGTCGACCACAGGCGTAGCACCTGAAGCACTGGGTTGATGATATGCGGGGAGCCAAATCTTGCCGGACTTTGAGTAGGCGTAGCTACCATCCTTTCCTGCCCTGATAACTAGCATGCCATTTCCATCGGGGCCAATGCCGGATTCTGTAATCCTTTGGACTATTTCCTGGCCTGCTTGGCTCTTTTGAGTCCAACCGGGCTGGCCAAACATCATGCCGAGCTCCATGTGGTTAGGACTCACCACATCCACGACTTTATTTGCGGCGAAGAACTTTTCCTGTTCTTCCGGGGTGCAGAGATCAGGGATTGGCTCCCAGACAAAGATAGGATGCTGGGAAGCATGAGCGGCAGACGGTGCTTTCCCTGTCTTTCGCAATTCATCTCTCCGCTGCAGAATATCGTGCACTATAGACATACAACGGGATGCAGAACAGACCATATGGAATGTCTTGGACCACACCTGTGAATCGGACAACATTTCAGGCTCGAGTCTTAGTTTCGGAGTCAAGTATTTGAAGTCTTCCCAGTCAGTTACCGCGTGGGTTTCCTCGGTGGAATATGTATCACCGCAAACTTACCTCGTTTCTCGTCAGGATGATACCCATTCCAGGCTCTCGTTGTTAGCCTGCTGGGGTCTTCTCTAAAAACGCAGGCTGTATTCCATGACTTGATTACATCAAGCGTCTCCGTAGGGAAATCGGAGCCAACATCCACGATCCAGCTCACAGCTCGTGCATACTTCGAGCCCGAGACCAAGCGGGCACCCACGACTGCAAATGATGCTGCACCACCGAGGATATTCTTAACACTGGGTCTTGAGCCGCCGAAATCAATATCATCTGAATAACAATGCACCTGTGAGTCTACATCCCACTTTGAGCGACGAAGTAAACCATACCAATTATGAACATTCCCAAGGTGCAGAACTCGACCTCAACGGGCTTATCTTGGGCCACCATATTTGCAGCTAAGGCCTTCTCTTTGTATGTATAAATACAACAAAGAAGATGATTGTCAAGAAAGACAAAGAACAGCCGAACATGGGGGGTTTCGACTTATCGCAGGGTGGATCGAACGGTAATTCAATTACCAAATATACCCCCACAACGTCATTTCCCCTGCGGATCCCGCTGTAACGTACCATACCACATCTAGAGCCGTCATCTGCGGGCCTCAGGAGCTCCAACCTTCGTCTTCTTTCCACTCCCTATCATCCCGTGTGTCGATTTTTGGAACTCGAGGGCCTATATTTTACTAAATAGCAGGGGATCTTACTTCTCGACAATCCCTGAATCTCAACCTACTCAAATCACCCCTTTTACCTTTCCGCTTCCTCCGTTGGAGCAACGTGTTGCCTATCATGGCGTCCGGCGGCCATATGCATAATTTCACCACCCTCATCAAGCGGTATGTATCCTTGGTGCTAACAGTGTCTGGCCAATGGCATTTCACTGGTATTTTGCTCTTAGCTCAATTCCCGCTACGCTGTTTGACACCTACGTCCGGCACACTTGACTGACATCGAACTCATCTACAGGCTCGAGGCAGCGACCTCACGCTTGGAGGATATGGCGATGTCATACGATGACTCTAGCGCGCCAAAGTCTTTGACCGGTTCACCTTCTTCTACGCCCGCTATTCCACAACCCCCTAAGCCGTCCCCTCCTCCGCCCGCGGCCCCTGTGGCCGCCCCCGTCCCGCCGCAGATTGAGGACTTCGATGCGTTGATCAAGGGTGATGTTCAGAACTTTGTCAACCTGGGAGAGAAGATCGGCGGTCTGGTTGCTGAGCAAGTATGTTGAGGAATTGTGCGAACTTAGTCTACCGCGAGTAGTTGCTGACTGGATCTATAGTCCAAAGCTGTCCTTCGGGCCTTCCAAGCTGAACGTACCTATCTTTATGTTGTTACAAAAGCCAAGAAACCCGATACTCAGCCTCCGGAGTTAATGACGGATCTGCACAAAGCATCCGATAGCATTAACAACATTCGCGAATCAAACAGAGCCTCGCCGCTATTCAACCACCTAAGCGCTGTTGCGGAGGGTATTGTTGCGCTCGCTTGGTTCTTCGAAAGCAAGCCTGCGGAATTTGTCACGGACATGATCGGTGGCATTGAATACTACGGAAATAAGGTGCTGAAGGAGTACAAGGACAAGTGAGCACTCCTGTTAATGACGTTTTGAGGGAATTACCATGTTGACAATTTAACAGGGACCAGGTACACGTCGAATACATCAAAGCCTACTATCAAAACTTCAAGGCTCTTGCGGAGTACCTCAAGAAACACTACCCCAAGGGTCTGACATGGAACAATGAGACGGGCATTGATGCCATGGAAGCTTTGAGGCAGGTCAAGGCCGGACCTGGTGCGGTCAGTGGCGGTGCCCTTCCTCCCCCTCCCCCTCCTCCCCCTGTCCCATCCCTCAACTTCCCCGGTGGCGGCGCTCCTCCCCCACCTCCGCCTCCTGGTATTCCTCCTGCTCCGGCCCCTGCGGCACCAGCAGCAGACATGGGCGCTGTCTTCGACCAACTCAACCAGGGCGAGGGTATCACCTCTAGCCTCCGCAAGGTCGACAAATCGGAGATGACGCACAAGAACCCCAACCTGCGTGCCGGATCCATCGTCCCTGAGGGCAGTTCCGTGCGGGGCAAGTCCCCAGCACCCAGCAAAAAACCCAAGCCCGAAAACATGCGCGCGCGCAAGCCGCCCCGCAGGGAACTCGAGGGCAGCAAGTGGCTCATCGAGAACTTTGATGCCCCTGGCGAGATCATCGAGGTCTCTGCGCAACAGAACCAGTCCATCCTCATCAGTCGCTGCAACAAAACCATCATCAAGGTCTCTAACAAGGCTAACGCTATTGCCATCGACAACTGCGTTGGTCTCTCCCTTATCGTCGACTCTCTCGTCAGCAGTCTTGATATCATCAAGTGCCCCAAGTTCGCTGTGCAGATCGACGGCACGGTCCCCACTTTGCTGATGGATCAGGTTGATGGTGCTACCGTTTACCTTAGCCAAGAGAGTCTCAACACTGAGATCTTTACTAGCAAATGTTCCGCTATTAACATCACCCTTCCGCCGCCGGAGGGCACCGATGAAGATACCAAGGAGTGCCCTCTGCCAGAGCAGTTCAAGAGCTACCTCAAGGACGGCGTGCTGGTGAGCGAGATCGTGGAGCATGCTGGTTAAGCTAGGCTCATTAGTCGAAGAGGACTAGGAAATTTTCTTTTCTTAGACTCAAAGGAATCGTAATACATCATGTCGGCTGGGTCGAGATCACTTGGTCTTCTTCCTGGGTGGCTTGACACTTGTCATTTTGGATAATTTAGTTGCTGTATCTAGCGCTGTAGATATAAATTGCAGGAACTCAAACTCGCCTACTCTGACATTTCACAATATCTTACTTCTTCTGTATTCCATCAATGAATATTCTTTCATCTGAAAACTTCTAAATATATATCCTATTGGCAGACATGAAAATCAAAATCGAGCAGCGACGCAGTGCACTAGCGAAATATATGTAATCAATACTAAAAATCACCAACTTAACCATCTAACAGATGAACTTAAGTGTAAAGGCCAAAAGCAGAAGGAAAGAGAATAAGATATCAAAATAGAAAAGGGTATAGTCAACGACCCATGCATGCACCCGGGCTCCCTAATATATCCATGAAGCACAGGCAATGAAAGCAGATCAACTGGACTTCGAAGTGGCAAAGAAAATAAATACACACATCGCTCGGGCATGAATCATGATGAATAAAGATACTCGGCACTATGATGTGAGTTAGTATAAACAGGGGATCGGCTGCAAACCAGTGCGCCTACTGCCATGCTGTTCCTTGAGGGGTGGTATAGACAGGAAACGAGGTGATATGTCAAGTCGAGGTCAAGATATACGTGGGAAATAGATGGTGTTATTGTTATACGGAATGGCGGGGTCAAATTTCTTGGAGGATATAGCGCTGGGTTCGTTCAGCGAGGATGGTGGCTGTGGGTAGGAGATGGTCGATCATAAAGGCCCAATTTGCGTGGATGTCGTTCATCTACTGTGGACTCCGACCTGTGCACATCGAGGCCTCGGAGTCTTTTGGCAAGAAGGCTCTCGCCAGATTCTGAGACGACTGGATTCGATATACGAGCATGACGTCCGTAAGCCTCGTCGCCTCTGGTGAGCTCGTTGTACCGAGACACACTATGCGAGGGAGCATTATTTTCAGGGCCACCTGTAACATCCACGGGTCTTGGCGCATCTAGCTGTGAGGGGAACCCGCTTGACACATGTGGGTGCAGACGAGGGGTCGCTCCCTGGCCCACACTCAGTCTGCGAGAAGCTTGTTCAGTTCCCAGGCGCGTATTTGCGCTCGCAGTGCTCGAGATGGAAGACTCTCGGGAGGGCTTGTACGGGCTGTATCGAGGCTCAGGATTTTGGATCTCATTCCGTAGTTTCTCCTTGCCGTCCGGAACGCGGTTTGCAAACACCACGCGAATAGTCGAATGTAGGTAAAAGCGACCGCGCGCGGGACAACAGATGTTTAGATGAATGAGGTATCGTAACGTGGGTTTGTCCTGAGGGTCTTCTGTGGGATTCAAGGAAGCTTCAGGGCGATCGGTCCCATAATTTTTCCGTGCACTGAGCGGCATATCGATAATCGGACCTGCCGAATAGCTGCGTTGCCGAATGAAGGTCTTTGTGCCAGGTTCCATATCACCGAGGTCGTATGGAACTAGGAAAAGCTTTACCGCGGTTTTGTGCGGGTTTTTGATTATGATTTGTAGTTGACCTTGTTGCGGAATGCGGTAAGACCCCCCCCGGGGGACATTTAGGCGATTCTGACGTGCGATTCTTCTTTTCCCGGTGGCGTCGTGATTCAGCACATGCAGGAGTATCATTTGCTCCACCTGTGGCGGGAATGCCTTCAAGGGGTTCCGTCAGACTTGGATGTCGCCTGCGACGTCTAGTCGGATTGGAATTTCCTTTTAGTAGGGAATTTTCCAGGTCAATCTGTCCCACATAGGGACTTGGATTGTCATCTGAGATTGAGCGGCCGGACCCGGAGGTCGGATAACTGTAGAAGACAACCGGAAATGGCACTGTAACATGTGGCGGACATTTTAAATGACCTTTGCAATTCCCCTTGCCCAGGACACCAATCTGAGCCGTGAAATCCAGCGGCTTGGAAGGATTCATTGACATTCTCCCGCGTAATATCGATTCCTCGTAAGAGCCCACCATCGGCGCGTGATGGTTTGACGAGATGTCAGAGACGAAAGACGGCCGTCTTACTCGCGATGGTGGGATCTGCCCCCCGGGGGTCGGTGCAAGTTGAAGACTATACGATGAAGTCAATGACCGGCGAGGCAAAGATGTTTGATTTGTGAAGACATCATGCTGCCGTCCGGGGGGAGATGGACCGCTAGAGTTGAGAATTTGATTGCTTGGCAAGGAGAATTGGAGATTGCGGAAGGTCTCTGGTGGCAAAGTACGGCGGCGGTTTTTTCTGTCTAAATGCTCCAAAACGTCCTCATGGTCAACACGGGACGAAAAGTCCAAGTCGGTGTTATTCGCTTGGTATACCAGAGGACTGGTAGGAGCTTTCAGAACATAACTTGACGAGAATGAGCCCACCGCCGGTGCACCAGCGCGAGCATCCAGGATAACATCGGACTGAGGGTGTTCATTCGATGTGCCTGTCTTTCGTAAACCGGAGGGCAACGCCTGTGCTCCGAACCAAGGAGTAGTGGGCGAGGAGCTCAAATGAGCAAATGGAGAAGCCGAGCTCCGGTCAGTAAAGGGGGACCGTGGAGCGTGTGAGTCATGGGAATCTGTGGCACCTTCCCTGAAATCACCGGAGTGTAACGCTGACCGAGGTCTCTGGATATCGGCCGGCGATCCCAGTTCCTCTGTCGCATTGATATGACGTTCTTCGTTGAGAGAGCGGCTTCCATACTCTCTTGCTGCTCTTTGAGACTGCTCCCGTGAAGTTTGAGAGATAAATAAATCTTTGTTGTCCTTATCCGGGGACTGTTGGCATGTTAGCCTATGCATGTGTTGGACTATGCAAGAAAAATAAAGAAAGCGGAAATCACAACGAGCAGAGATTTGGAACAGTGCTAGGCATCCACGAAGAGATTCACATACCATATGTTGAAGTCTCCAAGGCGAAGATTCTTTGATACGGTGGATGAGCTCCTCCCGATCATTCGCCCACGACTTGGGCGGATTCAACGCCGTTGAATGCATAGAGTTGGTTGCCATTTCTGGAGCAGCTACCTCACCCTCAAGGTGACTGAGATCATTTAGCTGGAGCTGCGAGGACCCTGCGGTCGGTTGTTCACCATTGCCATGGTCGGGCGACCATAGATAATGACGCCTCCGATCCGGATCTCGAAATAGGGGCATGGTGGTATGATAAGGGCAGACTATAAGACATAAAATACTAAATGTGACATTTCCGGAAGACACCCATGTAGCACTTTTTGAAACCAAAGCCGAGCTGTGCCGTGGTGGGGGTTCCAAGTTGGATGCGGTGTACCAGGATGATTCGGGTATATGCTGTCGGTGATTTTTACTGGTGGGAGAAGAAGATAACAGTTTATAGAGGAAAATACGTCACGCCATGGGCATGACTTTTGCTGCTGTCTCAAAGTATGAATGCCCAGTTTGAACCTCACAGGGTTGATAGGCAAAGAAAGTATTGAGCAGGTCGTGTGCTTTGTGTCGTTGAATGGGGTGGACACCCGCCGTGGATCTCGGAGATCCGGCCTGCGAACGTCATGTGATGGACCAGTGACGTTGTGTTGCAGTGATTGGATAGGGAGCCTTCAGGAGTCATATTGAATGTTGTATATTTGTATTCTTTGGGTCTCAATAAGGAAATCAAGGCCCGATGCCTGGGCTATGGGAGATGTTGGGGAGAAATAGAGAGAAAAAAGTAAATAATGCGTAGACTAGCTCAATAGAATCAGTGATAATGTCGAATATGTTGTAGACCTTGTAGATGGTATTGCTAATGCTAATTACCTACAATCTCGATCTTTTAGCCCCAAAACCGAGGAGACAAAGGTGCTGTATATTGTTCAAAAGGTCATACTTCCTTGCTAGTGGCCGAGACCGATGTTCCGTGCGGAGATCGCCACTTTTTTTTTTTCCTTCTCCGAAAGTCTTCGATTCTCAACACACGTCAAGACAAAACAAATTTGCTTTGCTTGAATATCAGCATGGCACCGAAACGCACCCACGATGGAGATGCTACCCCAGTATCAAAGGGCGAGCCCGCGATCAAGAAGCGCAAGGGCTTTAGCGTTGGACCTGCAAACCTCCCAGATGGCACATATCGTCGCAAGAGTGAGCACGCCCGAAAGCCATGTCTTGAATGAGACTAACCAAACGACAAAAAAGCCCAAAAGATCAAAAATGACTTGATTCACAAGGCCAAAGTGAAGAAGGCCTATGCCAAGATCAAAGCCCAAGAACTCGCCATCGCGCCTAGGAAATCCGTGTACGATACTGCCGAGGGGGACGAAGTTGAAACTGGCAAGGACAAGGAAGAGGCTGGCGAAGAGGCAACAACTCTGGAACTTCACCCGGATCGCATAGCCATGTTGAACGAGCCCGAGGCCGAGCGAGCACCTGCACCTAAACCAGAATGGCGTCCACGAGGCGAGGGCAAACAGAGGGAGCGCCGGCCAAAGCCCTCTGCATTCACAAGGGAGATGGAGTTTGCAGAGAAGCGGAGGAAAGCCGAGGAAACACGACAAAAGGAACGAGAGGCGAAACAAAATGAGCGTGGGGCACTGCTACGTGCGAAGCGGCCGGACCAGTTTGGGAAGAGGAGATTAGGCAGAGAGAGCACCGCGTTGCTTAGTCGCGTGCAGCGGATGGTTGGTCAGAATTAGAGAGGAAAGGCACGAACTACACATGCATGGTGTGGACTATGTTTCCATGATACCCGGTCGGATATGAAATAAAAGTTTTTTATTCAAATTACGATTCTTGAATAGCACTGTCTTGCTAGACCTAGTAGTATGTCCCGGCCGCAGTGGGAGGCTTGGAGGTCCCTCCGCTATTTGCACCTCCGCCGCTTCTCGGCTTTTTGAAGCAAGCAAACTGCCCCTTCGTCCGATCCCTGAGCCGTTTCAGGATAACTCGCATTTCTCCTAGTTCGGCCTTCAGTTTTGTGCGGGCTTCATTTGTGGTACGACAATCCAGCTCGACGTAGATCTGACTTTGTACATCTGATGCCTCGTCGGTTATGTACGAGCTAAGAGTCTGTGCAATGAACTCGGTGTCCAAGGTAGCTTGCATCAAAGCTGGGAGTGAGAAGGATGGCCGAGCACGGAAGGCATCCAGCAGTGATGAAGAAATTTGAGAAAGCAGGTGTGTCAACACAGTGACTAGGAGCGAGGAAGGTGAGCTTGACGCAGCGCGACTAGCGCCCGGTGACACAGTGGACGGAATAGTTGTGGAGATCTCTGTATGGACCAGCACCATGATCAGCAGGGCGTTGTAGACATATGGGCGGACTTGCTCCGGCCTATCTACAGACGGCTCCCAATCTGGAGATGCAATGCCAGCGGTAATTGTTTTGTGTAATAAGACGGTAGTCGGGGTGATATATGATTGGAATAGCCTGTCTTCAATCTGGCTCAGCACGTCCCGAACGGTCTTGGCCTCTTCCGACAGCTTGACCGAGAAGGATGACTCAAAGTTCGAGATAAGCTGTGGGACATAGTCGGCCTGTAGAGCCTTCAGATTTGAAAGTGTGAGAAGGATTCGAACATTCTGTTCTGTGGTCAGTTATGCAGGTATCACATCGGATTGGACCGATACTTACGCGATTCCAAGAATCGACCGAATCAGCCGAGAGAACCGACAAAGCAGCGTCAGTCGCTTGGCTTGTCATTGCTGGTCGAGAAATAATCCATTCATTTTCTTCACCTACTGTTGTCAGGCGCTCTGCGTTTTCGACCAAGCCGCTTAATGATTTGTAAACACTCGATACGAACTGAGAGCGGACCATTTGAAGCAATTTCGCAGGCGGCTGAGTGACAACATCCACGGAACCCGGCTTTGCCATAGCTTCCGAGATGTAAAGAATCTTTTGCATGCCCACCAGGATAGCACTCTCAAAAGCCACAAAGAACCCAGGCATCTTAGTCAAATCACGCTTCTCTGAATCGCGTGTCCAGTCTTCCAGCATTTTGCAGACCTCCGCATCTTTGCTCCAGGCAGCACACGCCACACGTGCACATCGTTCCCGGGCAATACTGACAAGGGTCTTGAGGAGGTCATATGTTTTTCCAGAGCCGCCAATCGGCCTTAGGTCTGCCATTTCGCTCGCAGCGGTGCCCACAATGATGAGGAATTTACTCAAATAGTGCACTCCACTCAGGGAATTAGAAAATGGTGGCCAGAATGCGAAACTCTCCCAGTGCTCTCCAAGCTTTGGCGGAGGATATGGTAGGTTCCTCGGGTCCAACTTGAAGCGGGACTCTGTCGGAGTAATACCCCTCGACTCTGGAGTTGATGGACTTGCCGGAACTGGCGAGAAGAGTACGGAGATATCTTCGGTTGGGGGTTCCGTGAAGAGGGTCACGACGTTTTCTCGAATAATATTGACTAACACGTCAATACCCTCCTCTAACTGCTTAATATTGTCGTTGGAAAGATGGTGGTGTTTGCGACTCTCCCCTTCAAAACCGACAGGCAAAAGCCGTTGTCGATTGCCATCAATGAATGATTGTGCGACTTCCCAGAAATCCAAGACCTCGCCCAGCAAGCCACTTTGCGAGGACAGAAGTCGAGTTAGGAACGTTTGTATGCATTCCCACAGCTCAATGACTTGATCCGTGTCTAGAATCGCTGGTATTTCTACCGCACCATCACGAGGTGCCAGGCGGAGATAGGATGCTGTCGCCTGCGAAGTTGGTCTCTCTCCGCCAGCAAGTCTTCTTCTTAAAATTTCGATTTCGACCTTGCATCGATCACTGAATCCGGTGATCTTTGTCTTCAGGAATTCGTAACGACTCTGGAGCCATTTCCAGATAGGGTTTTCCTCGACACCCAGTTCCAACAGGGCCCCGATTAATTCCATGTGTTCTTCCACAGGCCCTGAGGCGGTGCTTGTAGTTGATGTAGTGGGGGCATCGGCAAGACGTCTCCAGAGATCACGCTTAAAACCATGGATTTGTTGGTCAACGTCCATCACCATCCGGCCCATGGCTAGAATGGTATGTGTCTCGGAGTCGTTTAGTTGCCGACGGGAACTGGACGCCTGCTCCGCGATATTCTTAGCCTGGTTGGCGAGTGTCCTTGCTTTCGTGTACTGCTCAAAGACAGCATCATAATCACGTTGCTTGATGGACTTGGCCAAGTGGCTTCCAATTTCATAGACATCGCGGTGTTTCTCCATAGTCTCCACCACCGACTTCAGAACCTTCTCTCGTTCCCGACCCCCAAGAGCCGGTCCCCACACCTCTTCGGCCTTGACAGAGGCCTCAACTAGCGGACCTCTAATACCCTTCATGCCGAACTCACTCTCCTTGACAAGAGCGGTCTTCTTAGCAACAACCACCGGGGCGAGAGATGTGCTCCATTGCTGACCTGAGTAGCTCCGGAAATGCCCTGACCTGCGAGGACTTAGGCTTGGTTCTTTATCAACGCCCTGGTTTCTCATCTCGGTGTAGACGCTATCGATAGTTGCCTTGGCACGAACGAAACGCTCAAAGTTGGCTTCCACCAGTACCTTCAGCGATGCCGACTTCTGGTCGATGGAATGCGATAGGTTATCCAGGCCGCTTATAAGGGATTCAATGGAGGCCGAGTGATGAGCCTGTGATAGGAACAGTGCTGGCGAGAATGATGTCGATGACAGCAGGAACCGTGATTTGCCTTCTTCCTCCAATGGCACTCCTCGCTGCTTGAGAATCCGGAGAACGCTGTCGCTTGTACCCAAGGGATCGGGCTCGTCTTCCCGCGCATTGTCTCTGCCCTCCTTCCCTCTTCGTGAACCAAAGTTGCTTCTCCAATCACTGGTACTGCGTTCAAGAGCTATGTATCGGGACTTGCGTGGACGAGAGTCTGCTCGCTGAACTGGCTGTTCTTCTGGCTCATCGTCCGCATCTAAAGATGCCGGCCATTCCTCGGGGAACTCGGAGGGTAGGTTGTAGTGGCTTGCGACGTCGAGGTCAGCCATGATTGCCCGGTGGGTGAAGCGCAGGAGTCAGGACTAATTGAAATACGAAAAAGAACCAGGGGCTATGCCTTTCTGCAGGTGACCAAGATCTGATATCCTCTGATAGCAGAACCCTAATCAACAGCTGAGACCCTATAGCTGGTCGTCAAGAGTGGACACCAGCACCAGGTAAAAGAGTGGACTCGGGCCGGAGGGGAAATGAAAC